CTTGGGACATGAAATGTGACAAAATAGCACAACCCAACGTAAAATAGGCCAAAGATGCATGACTAGGAGCCTTAAACGGATAAGAAATGAGGATGTAGACACGTGCAAATACATTGTTATCAAACTCCCCCACACTTAGCCGTTTGCTTGTCCCCAAGCAAACCAAGTTAGACACAAGGTGCTCAAAATATTTGGGACATGCCATATCAACACAAAACACGTGAATCATACTAGCTTTAAGTCATCAACACATGAACAACTTCAACGGCAACCTAGACAACCACCACAGATGACATTCGACTGCAGCAAAATCGAGCAAAGGAAGAGTCTCATATCTGTTCACCAACCAACATAGACTTAACTCAACCACTTATCCAAGACAATCACTTCATGCATAAAACTCAAGACGTCAGAATCAAGACCGAGCCATCTAGGCCCTCACCAGGGTAAAGAGTGTAAAGAATAAGGAAATGAATCGCTCACTCTCGACCAGTGGGGTCAGGATAATTTGTTGCGAAAATGCGCATGCTTATTCTCTCAATCTCTAACGTCTCTTCACCATGACGAAAACCTATAAATATTAGAGTTCACATAGTGGGTGTCATCACTATCTAATCCGGAGGTCTTAGACACATGTTCAAATGACTGGCTAGGGTCTTGGACATGGGGAAAGGCCTTTTAGGTGGTGGAAGCATTCATAACACAAGGTTGCATAGTTCCAAAACGAATCACAGCAACATTCATTCAAACCAATTACTTTTTATCTACCATTCTGCATTAATCACGTTCATACCATTTTGTGGGAGTCGGTTGGGGCCCTTAATGATGTGATCTGATGGTGTGTTTGCTGTGGATGTGAACCTTGAGTTGCCTAATTTATTGTTAATGTGCGCCCCCCACCCAGATTGTGCTTGTTTGCTCGAGTTATTAACCCCCAAACTATGGATGAAACTATGGTTCGGCTGTTTTCTGTTATTAAGTGTGGGGGTTGTGATTGACCTTTCCTATGGCTCTTTTGGCTCCACTTTGGTTCACTTTCTTGCAGGAACATGTCGAAGCCCAACCCTAGGCATCGTTTCATCAGTGATCTGCGGACGGGCACCCACAAGGATCAATTCAAGCGCGTCTTGGCCTCTAGGTTTGGGAAGCATCACTGTTGGAGCAAGAGGGAATTTCAGAAGCTGAATTGCTACGACGCCCTCCTTGCTGTTGCTCGCAACCGAGCATGGTGCCGTTTGTTGACTGTGCATGATAAGGTCTACTACGAGCTGGTGCTAGAGTTCTACACCACCTTTGTGCACACCGAGACCACCGACTGGAAGGACAACGCGACCATCAAGTTCAGGCTGGGCGGTGAACCTCACTCCATGAGCTACCACGAGTTTGCGGCCGCTTTAGACCTCGACATGGACGCTGGCAATGATTATGTCACAGAGGTCGTTAATCTAGCCGGTGTTTCCTTCACAGCTCTGTACAGACAGCTAGCTCAGCCAGCTCAGGACCCCTTCACTCCTGGTCGGACGAAGGCCAACACTTTGTAGATAGAGAATCACCTGCTCCACCACCTGCTCACGAAGTCTTATACTCCGGCTGGCGATAGTGCCAACACCCTGACCAAGCAGTCTATATACTTCATCCACTCGATCCGCACTTGGCACCATGACCTCCACCTGGGATCTGTGGTGGCGAGGACTATCGCCAAGAGTGCGAAGACTCTGGGGACCCTCCACTGTACCCTACTCATCACCCTGCTTGTCGACCATTTCCAGATCCCCTATCATGATTGGACAGAGCAGGGTGGTACCTGGCTTTTCGGAGAGGACACGGTCTCGAAGATGCACTTGCTGAGGGTCTCCCGCGGTGTCAAGTGCGTTGAGGGCTTTTCGGTCCCCACCATTCCTGACCCACATGCGGATGATCAGGCCGCTTCCCCCGAGGATGTGGATGTTGCTGCCTACCACCCCACTCCCTACTAGAGAACCTATGAACATGGGGGTGGTAGCTCTGCGTTCCCATCCCAGGACTACTTCTCTCACCAGTTCCAGCAACTGAGTCTTCAGAACCAGCAGATCCTCGACCATCATCTCTAGTTCCCGCAACAGTACTCATCTCACCAGGCCGAGTATACCACCCGGATGGCTGCATATGATGCGCGCCTCGACCGCATAGAGGCCCAGCAGGGGGTCACCCTTGCTCACATTGAGCAGGAGCGCACCCAGGAACAACGGGTGCAAGAGGTCCAGCAGCACCTGCTCCAGCTGCTATCGGGCGAGCCGCCAGTCTGGAGGACTCCGTGGTAGGGTTCACCACTTCCACCCCAGCCCGCTGATGATGATGCGTTCATGGCAGACATCAGCTTCGACGGCCTGGGCAACGAGTAGTATGTACTCATCGGCCCTTGAGTGTTTTTGTGTGTTTTGAGTACTTTTGTTTGCTCCATGTGTGTGCGAAGCTTGAACTGAGTCTTTTGTGTGTTTTTATTTTGTAGAATTTTGTTTTGTGCGCATCTGGGCTGAAACTGATCCCTAACGCACGGTGTGCTAGTGTTTTTGTTCGTGTTCCCATCGCGCAGATTGGTCCTTCGTTCTGTCTGTCCCTGATGACTGGTCTCATTTTAAGTCCGTTTTCCCTGTAACATCGTTCTCCTTATCTTTAACTCTTCTCCATTGAGGGCAATGTCGTGCTTAAGTGTGGGGGGTGTTTATCTTTGACTGCATAGATGAGTTTGTGAGCTTGGAGCCTAGTTCACTGTCCACTTTGATGAATTGAGGGCTCTCAACACTGTTCCCTGCAATATCCTACTCATTTTGCTTTGAATTGAAAGTCTTTATGGTGATATGCAACCTAGGGAGGTAGTTGTAGCACTATGGAGGATGTTGAAGTATAAGATTTTTCGTATCTGTCTCTCTACTGTGCTGGTTGATTTTGTGAACTAGTGGATTTAGGACCGTTGATTCATGTGGTATTTATGATGTTGTGTTGTGGACTCGTGTATCGAAAAAGGGTGCTCAAGTGTGAAATGAAAAAAAGCAGTTGGTCCTCCATGTCAAAAATTTCAAATGTCTAAAACATGGGATAAGCCCAACGTGTGTGGCACCGTTCATTGCACAAAATTGGGTTTTGGAAGAGATTTTAGTGATCCTTGGTGGGGTAGGCCTACAAGGTGAAGCTAAGCCGTCTCTAGTAAAAGTAAAAACTCCACCCGTTGAACAGTTTGCCTACTCGAGTTCGGGGTCGATTGGACGAAGTTGGGATGTTTGACGAAAAGCTGAGGAAGCCACGCGGCCTGATCAAAATTCCACACGGCCGTGTGACTTGGCCGTGTGGAACACCTTTACGTGGACAAAGCCACACGGGTTGTGTAAGGACCCCTTTTGATCGTGTGGGATTTCCAAAGAGTTACACGGGCTGGCAAAATTTCCACAAGGCCGTGTGGTTTTGGCCGTGTAGCGTACCTGGAGTCACTAAATCGAACGCGGCGTTTTGGAGAGTTACACGGGTAGCTGGGGATTTCACACGGCATTGTGGCCTGGCCGTGTGATCGGGAAAAACTGGGTTTTTAACCCAATTTCGGGTCTTTGAAGAGGGAGACGAATTTCTAGAGCAAAAACAGAGTCCTATAGAGAGAAAGTGCAAAGAACTAACCCTAGAGGTGATTTTGGAGCTGGGTTTCATCAATCAAGCTTGGATATCATCCCTAGAGTGAAGATTATCATCCCAAAGCAGATTCTTCCCATCATTATGAGTATGACTGCTTTGTATTATGTTTTCCTCTCTCTCTCTCTATGGAGTAGAACTCTTTCTCACTTGGATATGAAGAACCCTAGTTCCATGTGTTAGGGATTTGAGTTGTAATGACTTTTGGATTGCTATACTGCTTGATTATAATCAATTGAGGCAAGATTTATTGAGTCAAATGAAGCCTGATCAACTTTTCTTGATTTCTGTTGCAACCTGAGATATATAGAATCTGATTAGGTTGTTAGAGCTTCTTCAATCGGTAGTAGTGAATTGATTATACGAGAGTTAGTCAATTCACTGCTTTGTACTGGAATTCATTCTAGTAGTAGAGATATGTGTGAATCGCCTTAGCAATCTATCCCGGCGAAGGCAAGTCGCCTGCCGGGTATTCTGTCTAAGAGGGCTTGGTCAGCTTAAGAGATTCTAAGCTAATCTAGGATCTTCTGCACTTTAATCGACAGTAAATCAACCAAAGGGAATTACAACTTGAACCTAACTAAGGAGCTAGGGGGACTCATTCTCGAGTGACTCTTTCCTTGCTTAAGAAGTTCGACAATTTCCTGCTTTCTTACTGCTTTTGTTTGCAATCACTCTCACTACACTTAGTCCCACTAGATAACAGGTAGTCACGGAGTAGGCAGTAGATCTTAGGGATGTCAATGGGTCGGGTCAGGGACGGATAGTGCATATCCATTACCCTACCAAAGTAGTTCGGGTTTTACCCATACCCATACCCATATAAGAAACAGGTAGAAAATCCAAACCATGCCCATACCCATTCGAGTTTCGGGTATCCACGATTATCCATGGGTAATAGTTTCTCTTTACAACTCCAACCAATATGTTAATATTCAAACGTATTCTCACGTTACGTAAGACGAAAAATACGACAATAATTCATTAGAATGAAAAAAATTAATTAAAACAACACAATTTCTAGACAAAATACATATACAAGTGTATAATCGGGCAGGTTTGGGTTGGATAGTGAGAAAACCATGCCCACCCATTACCCGCAATATTCGGGTTCGGGTTTAACTCGTACCCACTAAAAGTCCTTCGGGTTTGGGTTTTACCCTACCCGATTAGGTCGGATTCGGACGGATATCCACGGTTACGGATAATTTTGCCATCCCTAGTAGATCTAGACCACGGGTTGATAAATTGAACTTGCCACTATTGTACATTTCCGGACTGCGATTATACTTGGTCGTGGTTTGGTATTGTGTAATAGCATGTCACAGCATCTACACTACCCCTCATGCCTCTGTAGTTGATAGGATAACAATAGGTTGCTTCTTGGATGTCCATGAAAACACCCCTCCTATAAGGAAAAAGGCATAACCACTGGTGCTTTTCTTATCATCCACATCACCTGCATAATCACTGTCAGTGTAGCCTATTAATTTTACTCCTCCTCCTTCTCCTCGCCTTCTGTACCAGATGCCATGTCCCAGACTTTCTTTCATATATCTCAAAATTCTCTTTGCATCCAACATATTTTGCCTAGTAGGAGATTCCATGAATCTTCTAAGTAAACAAACATAATACATAAGATCATGTCTGGTGGTAGTCATATATAGCAGACAACCAATTAGTTTCTTGTATTCAGTGGCATTTGCAGGTACTCCATCTCCTGCTCTAGATAGCTTGATTCCGGACCCAATCGGATTGTTAACATGGTTGCAGCTTGATAGATTGAATCTTTCCAGAAGCTCTTTTGCATATTTCTGTTGACAGATGAAGATTCCAGTCTCTCTTTTGATTACTTCTACACCAAGAAAATATCTCATCCTCCCAAATTCTTTCATTTCAAACTCGCTTTCCATCAAGGTCTTGAATTCTTGAATAAGCTGAGGACTACTGCTGGTACACATCAAGTCATCAACATAAATACTTCAGCTCCAACCTTCTTTATGAATAGTCTGTGTTCATAAGTGCTTCGCTCAAACCGATTATGCAGAAAATATGTTTCAATTCTGTTGTACCAAGCTCGAGGAGCTTGCTTCAAACCATACAAGGCTTTTTTTAACATGTACACTTTTGATTCCTCCCTAGCAACCACAAACCCTGGTGGGTGCTCCACATAAACCTCTTCAAACAGCTCACCATATAGGAAAGCAAACTTAACATACAATTGATGAACTTCAAAACCATGGAATGCAGCATAGGCTAGAAGAGTGCTAATAATATCCCACCTAGCAACAGGGGAAAATACCTCAGTGTAGGAAAGTATCCCTTTGCTACCAGTTTTGCGTTGCGCTTGTTTAGAGAGCCATCTTCTTTATGTTTTGACTTGTAAACCATTTTCATTCTAATAGTAGTAACTCCTGCTAGACATTCAATAAGTTTCAAGGTTTGATTCTTTTCGATTAAGTCTATCTCATGTCTCATTGCTCCATTCCACCTAGGATCTGCAACAGCTTCTTCAAACAATGTAGGATCATCTGCAACTACAATCATGGCCCACCAATCTACATCCACAAATTTGCCATCATATATATCAGGGTGAGCAGGTGACTTCCTGATTCTTGGTCCCAGACTTGCACTTGGCAGCCCAAGTACATCCGTAGGAGAGTCAAAATGATCCTCTTCCTCTTCCTCTTCATTTCCAACTTGTTGTATGTCTGGTGCAGTTGGAGTTGAATCTTTTGATTCATCTGAACCACCTGAAGCTTCTCCTACAGATGAATCACTTATTTCTTCTGTGTTTGGTCTAACCAGTCATCTTCACTCCCTTCCCACATTAGTTTGGTAAGTGGAGGCTGGTCTTCTGAATCCCAACTCCAACCTGTTTTCTCATCAAACACCACATCTCGACTCACTACCACCTTCTTGGTGACTGGATTATACAACTTGAAAGCTTTAGACTCAACAGAAATGCCAAGAAAGTAGCATTTTGTACTTTTGCTATATAGTTTCCTTCTCTGCTGATATGCAACATGCACATAATACACATAGCCAAATACTATGAAATGGGAGACTGAGGGAGGATTCCCAGTCCAAAGTTCCTGAGGAGTTCTGCCCTGGTTTGTTGTAGTTGGACTTCTATTTGTGACATGAGTTTTCCAAGCTACAACTTTTGGCCAAGACAAAGCAGGAACTTTGTTCTCCTCCCACGCAACACCTGACCATATTCATTATGGTGCGATTCTTTCCACCCCCTGTTGCTGTGGGGTGAGAGCTGTAGTGAGTTGCCTCCTTATACCTTCTTCTTCACAAAGCTCTTTGAATTCATTCAACATGAACTCCCCACCTCTGCCAGTTCTTAAGCACCTAATAAGGAGTCCAGTTTCTTTTTGAACATGTGCTTTGAACTTCTTGAACAACCCTAGTGTTTCTGACTTTGCATTCATAAAGATAAACCCGTAACTCTCTACTGAAATCATCAGTTATGGTTAGGGTATACCTCTTCCCTCCATTAGAAGCTGGAGTTATTGGACCACACAGTTCAACATGGATCAACTGAAGCTTTTGTGTTGCTCTTCTTTGGGAATGAATGCTTGTGTTGCTTGCCCACTAGGCAGGTTTGGCAGACTGCGCTCTCCCCTTTCAAGTCTGGTGAGTCAACTACCAAATTCTTCTTCTTTAAGAACAGTAGGCTTTGATAACTCAGGTGACCAAACCTTCTGTGCCAAAGGGTTTGGGAACTTTCCTTGCTGCTATCTATCTGCAAGCATTAACGACCTTGACTTTCTTTCAAATAAGCATGAAGTGCAAACATTCTGCTAGATTTCATCTTAGTTTGCAGTAGTAAACCCTTATCCTCATGAAACAACTTACAGTAGCCTTCCTTAATCAAGAAAGAGATCACATTCTTTTGTAGCTATCCAACAATCAGCAAACTGGCCTTCAAACCTGGGACATAAAAGATTTTCTGGATTACTAGGGATACATGATTGACCACCAGCTTCACAGACCCTTTGCCAACAGCCTCCAGTCTCGAGTTGTTGCCAAGCCTCACATCGCACCTGAAACTAGAGTCAATAGAGGTGAACCAGCTCTTATCCCCACTCATGTGGTGTTGCAGCCTTAGTAAAGAAACCACCAGGTTATGCCATCTTATGCCTTCTCTCTGTCAGCATGGGTGTTTCAACAGTTCCCATAAGGTTTGTTATCTTCTGCCTTGCTTCAATTCCTTCTTGATCTACACAAGCCATGAGCATAACATCTTCTTTCATGTCTTCATGGGATCTGTCCTATGAAGGCTTATAGCTGGAATAGTGAGCTTGCTAGTTTGAGTACCACTCTGGACACTCAGGTCTAAAATGTCCAAGTTTATGACACTTGAAACATTCCATATCTTCCTTGTTCCAGTCTCTTCCTCTCCTACCCATTCCACGTCCAGCAGAACCTGCAAAGTTCCCAAAATTCCCTCTTCTTGGACCTCTAGGCCCCTGCCACCAAACTCATGAGTGGTTTGAAGGGCCTGATCATTCTCAGCTGCACTTTTCTTATGAAACTTACGTTCATGGACAATTATTGAACTTTGCAAACCATCAACAGTCAATAACTCAATATCCTTAGACTCTTCAATCGAACACACCACATAACTGAACTTCTCAGTCAAAGTTCTTAAAATCTTTTCCACAATCTGCACATCAGTCAGATTTTCTCAACAACTTCTCATTGAATTGGTGACAACCATGACACGACCAAAGTATTCAGTAATGGTTTCCCCCTCTTTCATTTCCAGCAATTCATAACTTCTCCTAAGAGCTTGAAGTTGAGCCTTTTGGACCTAGCACTACCCTGATATTTTAATTTCTTAGAATCCCAGAGTTCTTTTGAATGGTTCTACTTGGTAATGGTTTTGAGAATTACCTTATCAATCGAACTGAAGAGATAATTCCTGGCCTTCAGATCCCTAGGCTTCAAGTCGTCTAAGGATTTCTGCTCTACCTCAGAGAGTCTCTCGCCTTCAACTGGTTCCTTGAATCATTCACTCACAACATGCCAGTAATCCTTAGATCGAAGGAGGTTCTCTGATATGAGCTTGAATTGCTTCCATTCCAAGCTCGATTTGTTTGTTCAAGAAGTTAAGCCAACTCATTTGCGCAACCTGAGTTTTTGGCTAAGTGTTATGACGAGTTCGGGTAGCCTACTTTGCGAGCTCGAATATTTCGATTGGGTTGGTATAAATGAGAGGTTAAGGTGTTGGTTTGAAGATGAGAACTTCCTCGTTAATATGGCATGGGATTCGGGCTTATACAAGGCCATTAAAACTATGTTTCAAGGCGTCAAAGTAGCTATCTTAAAACTGGCAAACTGCCAGAATTTGGCTAAGTCTAGAGGCATGGTCAGGAAGGTCACTTTGGAGCTCCGTTCAGGGAAGATGGGATCGAATCAGGAAAGGAGCTTTGTACCACATGAAAGCGTGGTTGTTTGTATACATAAGCAAGGTATTGGCTAAGGAGAAGGAGATCTGGAGGGATGTGAACGTGAGGCTCAAAGATGCTAGGGAAGCCTGTTTTGGAGGCAGATTGCTTAAGCTAGAAGAAAGGGAAGTATGAACGAGTTGGAAGTCCTTTTTAGTTTGGGATTGTTACCTTATTCATAGTATAGTTTAATTAGCTTTCCATGTAAGTTTTGTAGTTGAATTAGGTTTAAGTTCGCCTATTTAAAGGCCTAGAACTCCATTATAATGGTTGGACGTTATTCAATTAAGAACCGTGTTCATTGAGTTTTCCACTCGTGGATTGTCCTTGTTGCTTGGTTTGAATCGCCAGCGACGAGCGAGCCTTGTATTGATTGAGTCATCACCTCGATCGTGGTCGGGTTGCTACCTTTAACTTGGAGCGAGCCTCTTCCCCAATTGGTGTTGAAGTTGCACAATCCTCCCCTATTCTTCTTTGAGAATTGGTTTTCTCCACAGCAAATAAACAGCAAGCTTGCGTGTACGAGCCCTTGACGAGCGTGGATAATTCAGCCTCGTAGAGTTGGGGCTTATCAAGTGGTATCAGAGCCCGGTTCAACGCAGTGTCCGTGAGACGGTTTCCCGTGGTGGCAGAGACGACTCTACTTTGTGTCGGCCGAGCAGAGGAGGAGAGAGGGGCAATGAGGGGGAGCAGCTCGCGCGACGTCGAGCTTCGCTAATGCCTTCGACGCAATCCCCACGACCCTGGGAATCTCCTTCGAAGGCAAAGGCGACGCGAACTCCCCTCATCCGCCAGCTCAAATTCGACGTCCAGCGGCCCCGGTTGCGCACAAGGAAGAAGGAAGTTCGGCTGAATGGGTTGGAGTGCTCGGGCCTGATTCAACCCAAACGGATTCGTCAGAATCATTGCTCACGTCTTCGATATGCTGTAGGATTGATCAAATTGATTTGGAGGATGCTGGAATCGAAATGCCCCAATCGACAACACATATTCTGGGTGGGTCGTTTTTGAATGTCGGTGTTGGTGGGAGAAGCCGAGGAGCTGGGTCGCCACAAACGGCGACGATTCGGGACCTGCCGCCGGTTCAGGAAGTCGATTGGAGGTGTGGCCAACCTCGTGGGAGCACTGAATTGGATTGGCAATACCTGAATCGAAAAGCCCCAATCCAACTACTCAAGAACACTGTTTTCGAATTGCAG